CCTGCTCGCAGCGCCGCTCGTTTAAAAAAGTCAAACCAGCCCTGCTACTTGTCCCGGGCGATACGAATTCCACACCCCTGTGGTGTAGGATGTAGTATGTTCCGCATATACGCTTGCAAACCACTACAGACAGCCTTTTTACAGTTTAGAGCAGAACAGTACATAGCATAAAAAGTAGACTGCACAAAGCTACACAACACCATTTAAAGTGTATCTAAACCCAAGAACAAAAATACATTGCAGCTTCCCAGTCCTTAGATGTGGTGGCTGCATTAGTTTTATTTTCTCAGGCTCTTTACCCCTCCTTTTACACCTGGTAATCTTGCCAGTAACAGAATTTCTATTCTAGGTGACAAACCTCCCTCATTGGTCTATCTATGGAGGAGCAATGTTGTCACCCTGGGGCAGAAACTACATCTCCCCTTTATCTTTTCCATAATAGGGGTATATTTTCTGTAGTCCGAAAAGAGAGAATTGGTAAAAATGCTAAGTGGTAACAGTGCAGAAGAAACAGAAAGCACAGTATGCGATTAGCTCAGAAGATTTCTGAATCCACAGTTTTTTTGGGCACTTCTCAAACATGAATATGCTTTAATGCCACAGTAACCAGGGCTTTATCTCTCTAAATCTGAGTCCCAAAGTGTTTTCTTTGTTTTTACAATGTCTTCAGCCCTATATCTTTTAGGTTTTGTATTAGAGAGATAGGGCATGCATTTGGTAGCAAAATTGGATACACCATTGGTTTTATTGCAAATAGAAAAAAAAAGGAGGAAAATTTAATTTTTTCCAATGCAACATTTTTAGAATGTGTTCACTCCCATATATTTAACCCCAAAATATAAAACAAAAAAGTCAACTTATTAAAAGTGACACTAAAAAAACTCAGGAGTTACACACAATGCATTCAAGTACCTTATTAAAACACAAATGTATCTTATTTGTGCATCACTCAGCTGTAGATTCTCAAATCATCTCTGAATTTGTGCTTCCCATGGTCCCTGTGTGTGTTATAAACTAGCCACCTCTCTAAGCTCGCCCTAGTGATAGACTACAATCTCAATACAAATTAGTAAATTAAACATGAGATTGTAGTCTACCATGTAAGGAGGCTTGGAGTGGTGACTACTTTACAACACACACAGGGACAATCTGGGAACAAAAGTAGCCACCCTCCAGAAGGAAGTATCATCCAAATAATCGAACGTCAATGTTGTTGATTTTTCTGGAGAGGAAATAATTTTAGGACCACTAAGTAGTAGTGATCTACTGCTGACTGCAACTTGGTTAGGCGAGTATAGGGGGTTTGGGAGCACCCTTGCTTGGTACTTTCTCTGAGCCCTGATGCAAGCAGTGGGCAGGCTTTTGGGAGGCGTTATACGTATATCAAAATGGTTTAATGGGTGGCATGAAGACCACCCTAGGTGACACCCACATGTAATGCTGAGCCTCCATGTTTGAAAGACATCATTCAGCCAGGAAATTAGGTGGGCTCTATCTGACTTGCTGCAGCTTTTAATGCACAATCTTTTTTTTTTTTTTACACACATAAGTTCCAAAGTCCAGGACTACAGCCAAAGCGCCCTATATGCATATGAACTGACATGAGACACATGCGAGAAATAAGGCAGGAGGCTTCTTGCAAACTGATACAGCTGAAAGTTAATACTATAGCAATTTTCTCCACATGTTCTATAAGTTAGGTATCAAAGATATTGACAGCTATGGTTTGACAATGCAAGATCACAGCCAGAATCAGGGGAAGGGCAGGGTTGGCTAGTGAGAACAGAGGTCTAGAGAGGGCTTCCAACCACTTATAAGTTGGGCCCTAAAGACAGGCTCCTCCTCCTACAGGAATAGTAAGCGCCATGCTAAGTGAGGCACTGCCATACCTACAGTGTGGATAGACCACTTCTGCACCAAATCCTCACTAAAATGGATACAAGGCTAAAAAGGGGGACAAACAGATTGTCAGGATGTTCCCAATTTCTGAGGAGAAATACCGTTTCCCTGAAAATAAGACCTAGTACTATTTTTGGGAATTGCTAAAATATAAGACCTACCCCGAAAATAAGACCTAGTTGTGACCATTCCCAGGGCCGGTGGTGGCATAAGGGGGAACTTGAAGAGCCGCAGGAGAGAATCAGCGTTGCCAACGAAGCCAGCGCTAGAGGAAGCAAGGCGGCACCAGAGCCGCATAAGCCGATGCCTCCTCTATAGTGCCGGCTCCTGTCACAGGCGGAGTGATACCAAATGCACTCCGCCTGTGAGGTGGCCTTGATCACCCTATTTTTAACTTTGCCATTTTGTATTATTCAATTTGGATTTGCATGAACTTTGGATTGTTGTATATGAAAAAAAAATAAGACCTACCCCGAAAATAAGACCTAGTGTTTTTATTTGAGGCCAAAAAAATATAAGACAGTGTCTTATTTTCGGGGAAACACGGTAATTGGAAAAGAGGTAGCAAAAGTAAACGTCTTTGCGACCGTATGGGTTTCAAATGTACCAAGGCTGGGGACAGCACTAGTAAAAGAAACAGGCTGATACTCTAGTTTCAGAGTGGTGAACACTACCTCAATAAAAACCAAAACCATTCCCTTTAATGGGGCAACTTCATCAGACAATGAATGGGGTAACTCAGAATCAGAATTTCTGCGGTTGATGACTAAGAAGGTTATTAGGTTGCAGCCAAATCAGCTATAGAACCTAGAGGAGAGGGTGCAGAAGCATGCTTGTGACTCCTGGGATCAGAGTAACTGGGAAATTTGGGTCACATGTCTAGAATTACACATGTTGCGATGGAGTGATGGTAAGGCAATGTATAGGCCCAGGGTAAAAGACAAGGCCTCAGGTATTCACAAAACCTAGGCAGCTGATGTGATTGGATGGTCAGACGTGATCAAAGTCACTGTAGGAGGGCAACAGGAAGAGATTGAAGATCGAGGTTCCATGTGGCTCTTTTCAAGCAGGAGTAGCAGCAGGGGGGTGGCTTCCAGTACAAGTGGGTGCAACCATCACCCAGTAGATGACTTTCTGCAAAAAAAAAAACAGTGGGAATGGGGATTAAAGTTGCCCAGTGAACGTAATAATTGAAGTAGCTCTCAGTGCCGGCTGGCCAAATCAACGAGTCTTCGGAGACAGGGCAAGTGCTAAGAAAAAGCCAGTGGATTTGGTCCTGAAAAGCACTTTGCAGCTAACATTGATCAGAATGGAGGCTGGATAGCAACCTATGCGGAGCCCAGTGCCCAAAGGTCACTTCCAAGCTATCTCCAAAACGTACAGTTCAGCAGGATCCAGGCGGTACTCCAAAGGCCAGGCTGAGGATGACGGCACCAGAAATCTGCAATTAAAAAGAGGAAGCTCCAGCTGGCATGCAGAGAAGAGCCTTCCTTGAAGGACAAAAAAAAAAAATTTAAAAAAATCCTCCAAGAATGCTAGCAGAAAACCGGCATGCTGGTAGTGGGAGGGGCTATCCTGGGGTGGCCTACAGTTTTTTTTCCTTTTGTTTCAGTGTCCACTTCTTTTGGAGGCAGCAATATAGCCTGAAAGTTAAGACTTACTGGACAAGAAATACATTTCATAGAAAATACCTGTGGAGTGCAAATCATAGATGTTTATTCAAGTAATGCATAACTCTGAATACGACTGCTGACAAGAATACTAAAGGGTAATGTTGTACCACTGTACGATACTCATTTATCCACAGTTGCTCATTTTACAAGCTCATGATTACTTACAAGAAGGTTAACAGACTCTATCACATCCAGAAAAACTTCATTCTTCCTATATTTTATCCCTTCTGACCTCCAAGACACAGCATTGGTTACTGTGGCAGGAGGACGAGGTGCTCCAGTTTCAAGCTTGTGTCCTTCCTGTGTAATATACCTAAAATATAAAATACACAGTCACTGCACCATTGGTTCCACATGCACCACACAACAGTAAAGTTCAATGGAATAAAATCAACACTATACCCTGCCCCCAAAAGAGGAATGTCCAACAAAACTACGACTACAGGCTTTAACGACATGCCTTTTTTATAACAGCAAACCCCAAAAATTGCATTTTACGCCAAGAACAAAAATCTAATTTTCTTACGCATTCATTGAGGGACATGGGATTCAGTAACATTAGGGATGTCCAAAAGCAGTCCAATTGAAGGGTGGGCAACAGAATACAGAGCTGCCTAAAAAGGACTTTACGCCCCAAACTGGCATTAGATGAGCCTGAACATCCAGCTGGCAAAACTTAGAAAACCTGTGAAGAAACGATCAGGCCTTCTAAGTCTGAGAAACAGTTGCCTGATGCTGTAAAGTCCAAGAAGCACTGACAGACCTAGTAGAGTGCGCCTTAGACAGGAAAGGGTGGAACCAACACCAAGTATTTTAAGCTTGGATGATTATCTGTCATAGCCCACAGTAAAGTTGTGGGGCAAGAAGCTGGTTTACCGTCATGGGGACCATCAAAGTGAGTCAGATATGGCTCTTGTTGGTTCTCAGGACCAACTGTTGATCTAGGCCCGATTGTAAAAAGGTGACCATTCATCCTACTGAGTTTTTCCTGGGATAAAAGCTTCTTTCCTTGCACCAAGCGACGTAAACCTTCCATGTGTGGTGGTAGACCCTGTTGGTAGGGCTGCAACCACGTAATCGATAATTATAGTGGTCAACAATTTTCATTATTGATTAGTTGGTTGGAGCCACTAGCTCTTTCCTCCACATTGGCACAGCAAGTAGTGGACAGGTACAATAGCCAGCCTGCCATTGCAATTTGAAATGGCCAAAAGCAGGCTGGCTATTGCACCAGCCCACTACCTGCTGTATTTACATTCAGCTGCTGTCTGTGGAATCTTGCCACTGGCAGCTGTCATTCCCTGGCTGAAGCTATTCAAACGCCATGTGCTTACAATACAATATTAAAAAATAATAATTTTTAGAAAGGCGGGGAAAAGTCAGTCGGTTTCAGTCTGACAAATTCTGGTTGGGGAGGTATGTTTCTGTGCCATTCATTTAAATGGCACCCCAAACGCACCTCCCACTCGCGCCCCCGCAGTGTGATCGCCCGCACTAAACTCATGGTACCACAATACCATGCGTTCCAGTGCAGTGCGACTGCAAAAAATTGTGCATGCAGTTTTATTGTGAAGTAAACTTTATGTTTGTAACACTGCATTTGTGCATTTCATTTTAAATTAAGGATGGCATTTCATTTTTTTTCCCCCGATTAATCGAAAAAAAAAAAATATATATAAAAAAAAAAAAATCAGCCAACTAACCGATAAAATAATCATTAGCTGCAGCCCTACTTGTGGGAGTACTACTTAATATACTTTTTGGCATTTAACATCAAAGGAATCCCCAACCTGGAGATATCCTGTCCCAAAAGGCTTGGGCTTCAAGAGCCATGCTGTTTAAGCCAACAACCATGAAGGAGGAGGGCAAACTGGTCCTTGAGAAAGCAGGCCCTAACGATCAGGAAGAGCCTAGGGAGCATCTGCCAGGAGTCTAATCAGAATGGAGTACCACATACACCTGGGCCTAGCTGGAGCTATAAGCATTACCAAAATGCTCTCCATCTTGGGCCTGTGAGCTAGACGAGGGGGAGGAAATCCCACAGAGACACCAGAACATCCACTGCTTCCAGTAGAGGCCCAGGGGGTCCACATCCTGTACCCCCTAACGGAGCTAAGGAAGATTAAGAGGACTCTAAGAGAAGGCAACATTTCAGGCTGGGAAAATCAGGCCTTCAAGTTGGTGCAATGGGGTTGTTGGGAGGACCATGAGCTGAAAGGGGCTGCTACAGTGGGACTGGTTCCCGTGTGTCGGGGGATCTGACAAGGTACAAGGAACAACAAAGCTGAAGATGCAAGGATAAGTCTTGAATACTCACAAACTGGCCAGAGTAACCACGTCACTACCGGCAGGCTGCAAAGATTAACCAATGAGAAGCCCCTGGTCACTTATGAAAATAACAGTGGTGGGAATGTGTTCACTCACATTGAATGGCAGGAAGAAAAAGGGAGACGTGTTTGCACAACACGCCACCTAAGGAATTACATAAGCGCTCAATCCCCCAGTGTGTAACTTTTTTTATGCCAAATTAACTGAAACAGAAAGGGGTAATAATGCTCCCCAACAGTCTTACACATGAGATAGCTTCTGGTGCTCAGCCTACACAGTCTACTCAAAGTGAGATTTCAGACACTGGGTCACACCAAAGGCTGTGCCTTAGCTGTAATCCCCGAAAGTGCTTCACAGCTATACACTCAGGTCCGGAAAGCACTGCAGTGAGAACCCCAAACCATCCAATTCAGTGGGGTTCAGGTACAGCCTCTAAAGCTAATGCTGATTACAGACTAGCTCAAGCAGTTTGTAGGAATATCTTAATTGGAAAAAAAAAACAAAGAAAAAAAAATTAATTTAGGAAAAATATAGCTAGTAAGAAAAGTCAAGTTTTTCTCAGTAGAGAAATCTTGCTAGAAAACTGAGGTATGGCAGGAGTGCGAGGGGTTATACCAGGCTGGTCACTGGTTTTTCCTTTGCCAGTTTCCAAATCCTACTGTAGGGATCAGTATAAACCAAATTGTCACTGAATCCTGTGTGACAATTTGGTTTATAACCCTCAATGAACAAGAAATCCTTTTTTCATGCTTTTATGTTTAGAGACACAGGACTTCTTTAACGTTTAGGACACCAAAAAGCAGTCCACCTGAGCTCAAAGATCCTCCTGAAGGATATTAAGCCGAAAGTTGGCTTCAGATGAGGTCGAAACATCCACCTGGGTGAACTTAGAGACATGTGAAAAGAATTCCAGGTGGCAGCCTTGCAAATCAGGAAAGTTACTTTATGCTAAAAACCCAAAGAAGCACTCACAGATCTAGTAGAGTGCACCTCGACAGGAAAGGGTGGAACTTGATCCTTGAGACCATAAACTTGGATGATGGCCTGGGGCACCTAGAGATGGTGGAATGAGAATCCAGGGCTTATAAGACCATCTGGGACAAGAAAAATGGTTTAGCCTTCTTGAAAGAAGCAGTGACTAAGAGCTAGACTCTCAGTTCCTTCTAGAGACAGAAGAATGATGTCTTGGTTAAGGCAAGAGGCAGAAACTGCCTTAGGCAGGGCCTCAAACACCACCTTGTCCCTATGCAAAAACAGAAAATAAGGCCACCAGTTCAGGCACTTGCCTCGCAGAGGTGAGGGCTACAGGGAACACCATCCTGTGGGTGAGAGAAGAGTGTTTCTAAAGGGTTTAAATGCTGGTTTCTGAGAAAACCAGATACAGATCACAGGGCAACAATAAGGGGAGCTCCTTGTACAAAAGTCCTAATGAAGGCGTGAGAGGCCACTGATCTCCAAAACCAGATAGAAAAAGGACAGAAACTTGGCATGGATGCTGCAGGAAGGAGAGACTTTGTCACAGAGAGAAACTCCCAGGTTGAAAGCCACAAGGCTCATACCAAGTAAAGTATGCCATCCATGTCCGAAGACAGACCTTGCAGAATGAAGCTTTCCTAACATTTAGCATCAAAAGGAATTACAGATTCAGAGATGCCCCCGTCTCTCGAAACCTGGGTTTCAAGAGCCAAGCAGTTAAAGCCAGCGACTGTGGAGCAGGGTGGCAAACTGGTCCTTGAAACAGGACTCTTACCAGGTTGGCAGCTGACAGCCATCAGGGCCAGTCCAGAGCAATGAGGATTATCAGAAAGCCCTCCGTCTCAACCATGCAAAGCAAACAAAAAAGAAATTTAAGGGGGACGGAATTGGGTAGGCACGTATTAGGGTACAGGAAGTGGAAATTTAAAAAAAAACTACTTGTCCAAGGGCTAAAGTGGGGGCCAAATCTACTTGTCCTTCACGACAATCTACTTGTCCCAATACAAAAAATAGTTTTAATCAAAACTAAGGATGCACCAATACCGGTTTTTCGGTATCGAGTACGAGTACCGATTTTTTGCTTTCGGATCTCGCCGACACTGAATACTAATACCGGTGCTTCCGCTGACATAGAGCAGGCTTCCCTGGTAATCAGGAAACCGGGCAGCAGGTAATGACATCCCGCCCAGGTTCCTGATTGCCATGGAAGTCGGCTCCATGTTTGGCCTGCTTGATTGCGATTGGCCGGGAAACCTGCTTCCCGGTCAATCAGTGGCGAGTAATGACCTGATTGACCGGGAAACTGGCTCGATGCTGATTGGCCAGGAAGCCGGCTTTCCAGCCAATCAGCAAGGAGCCGGCTTCCCGGGCCAATCAGAAAACCAGGAGGCGGGTCATTACTTGCCGCACGGCTTCCTGCTTGCACGGGAAGCTGGCTCCATGTTCCCCTATGGCTCTGCCAGTCAGAGGAAAGTACTACTCGCCCGGCGCCCGAAACTGCATGTCCCGGGCGTCGGGCGATAGGAATTCCACACCCCTGGGGTATACTGATCCCATGGAGCCACCAGAGCATCCACTGCTTCTACTAAAGGAACCCTGTACCTGGAGGGACAAACCCGTCCAGTTTGTTGTTGAACCTGGAGGCTAGAAGTGTCACCAAGGGTCCCAGAACACCTCTGGATCCAGGTGTTTCCAGCTGAAAAAGCCTGCCAGCAATAAAACACTACTGTAGTGATCTATTGCTGGCTGATAGATCCATCTGATCTATTTAAAAGTGATCTGCTGGTGCATATGGGGTCTGGATCTGGTCTCCACTAACCAGATCCAGACCCCTCATGAAGAAAAAAGTGTAATAAAAAAAAGAGGAAAAAAAAAAAAAAGGAAGGTGCATGAAGATAAACCGTATACAGTTATATATACACTGTTCAAAGGCTGTTAAATCGCGTTGTTTACCCGTATCTTCAGAAAAAAATCACTTCTACTGTCGCGGTAAACAACCTGCTTCTCTATTTATAATGGTCTGGCCCTCTAGCAACTTCAACCGTCAGGTCGTCATAATAATCTGGCCACTCAGTGTGTATGTATGTGTATCTATCTATCTATCTATCTATATCTATAGATATATATCTATATCTATCTGAATACTGAAAAATGGCCTGGATGGGAAGGGGGTTTAACACCGCGGATGTCAACTGGTTAAAAACCAAGGAAATTAAAATATATATGTATACAAATGTGCAACCAAATTAAAGGCGCATCTGTTCTAAAAAAAAACAACATGTTGTATAATACATTAGGGTACACTGGAAAACCTAAAAGATATAACATGCGGAACCGAGACATGAATGGAAATGAAAAATCGCTCTAGGACTTGGGATTTTAGGTAAAAAATAAAGACCCAGGGACTCGAATGGGTAAAGTTTTCAGCTTTTCCCCCTTGCATTCTTTAACCAAGGGAGCAACCGCAGACATGATGATATCTTTTTTAAGGGATTTTGACCAGTCAGCTATGATTTGGCAAAGTTGCAGCCAGAATGAGCTGACAGTCAGGGCCTGTCATGGAGGACAGAGTTCTAGATAGGGTTTCCATCTTTTTAGGGCCCATTCACACCCCCTCCAGGACACCTACAGACCAGACAGTTTCAGGACCTAAAATGCATCCCAATGTTTCCCTATGCTCTTCTTGGCCTCAGTTCACACCATCGCAGTCAGTTCCAGACCAGACCAGAGAAATACTGCGTGTCACATTTTGTCTGGTCTGGAACGCACAGAAACGTGTCAAACAATGCAACGGAATGCAATGGGGGAAAAAAAAATGTTGGGGCTGGTTTGGATGATCTCATCACCCCTGGACTTCCTGCTTCTGTGGAGAGAGATTTGTGAAGATAGGAACCATGATGGCTGGAGTGGAAACTGAATTATTTGTGCAACTTGTGGAAGCCTGCCCAGAGCTGTATGATCCGAGGCATGGGCAATATAAGAACAATAATAGGAAGATGGACAAGTGGAGAGGCATTGCTGCCCAGGTTGTCCCTGGCTATGATCATTTGAGCAGCTCTGATTTGCAAGCATTGTGCTGCTCTTTTCCTGGCTATCTGTAGGTCTTGCAGAGGTCCCCCACCTATAACTGAACGCATCAAAAACGCGGCAAAATGCAACACAGTGCGTTCCAGATCTGGAGTTCTTAAAGACCGGCATGTCTTTTACTGGAATAGCAAGCACCTGGTTAGGCAGGACCATGGTGAGGACAGCCCACTTTTGTACAAACTCCTCCTAAAACAGGTGCAAGGCCTATAAGTGCTTGAGGTAGCAAACAGCTCGTCAGGGCATTTCAAGTCTCAGAAGAGAGAGGTGGAAAATCGGGTGCATTATTAAAGTGTTTGAAGCCTTGGGAGCTTTAATGGACACAAGAGTGGCAAAAGCAAGAGACTCCCACAGTGGTGTGCGCCCCATCAATAGTCCAAACGTTCTCCTTTAATTTGGAAGTGATACCAGTAGTGCAACTCATAAGTCAAAGTCTGGATTAGAATCTGCCAGGGCTGCTGGTAAATTAGAGAATCTGCAAGAAAAGGCCCAGTAGCATGCTAGTTGTCTCCATGGTCCGAGTCAGCAAATAACTGGGTGATTTACGCTACAAAGTCTTGCATGACTGCAGTAAAAACCTCAGCCGAAAGGGCAGATGAACCAGCTACACCATATGAGGATAATAAGGTCTCAGATAACTAGATATGCTCTAGCAGCAAGCAGTAGATATAGGCACACTGCAAGCTGCCTGGGGCTGTTAATAGGGTGAGAGCTGGGAGCACCTAATAGGGTGAGAGCTGGGAGCACCTAAAACAGCAGAACTGCCCTCCACCAATGTCTAGAATCAGACATGTTAGGGCCCAATGGAAGTTAAGGCTCAGGGTACAAGGTAAGGCCTAGATACTCATGAAACCCAGATTGTTGGTAGCAAATGAGGGTCAGATAGGCAGAGGTGACCAGGTGGATTAGGAATCGGAGATCCACATGGCTCTTTGCAAGCAGGAGCAGCAGTGGGGAGTTGCTTCTTAAATGCTATATAATGAGACAGAATGTGTATACAAGATCCTCCACCCAACAAATTATGCTACTGTTCAGTTCTATATCATTAACCCCTTTCGTGGTGGAAACAAGGAAATGGGGAATTTTACAAAGAGCCCAGAGACCCAAGTAAATGAAGTGCTCAACCCAACTGGCCTACTCACAAAGTGAGTTTTCAGAGATAGGGCAAGCACAGAGGCAATGCAAGCAGTTCTGGACCTGTAAAATGCTCCCTGGCTCTGGAAAGTGCCCTACGTGGAACCCAGTGCCAGATGGTCACTTCTGCGCTATCCCCGCAACCTCCAGCCCAATTAATTCCAGGCGCAACATTTCAAAGGCCAGGCTGAGGGTGGCTGTGCTAGATAGCTGCAATCAAAGAGACAAGCTCTAGCAGTGATGTAGAAAATAGTATAGATTGAAGAGCAAAAAAAAAAAAGGGGTGATAAAAATTGGTTAGTCTTTCACAGAACAGAGGTGAAGAAAAGACCTCATAGGACATTAGGTTATTCTGGAAAAAATAAATTTAACAAAGAAAGAAGCGCTACGACCAAATGAAAATAAATGCTGTGGCTGGATTGAGAGAAAATGAAAATGGGGTGGAGGAGACGGTTTAGGGATTGGCCGTGGTGTACAGTGGTACCTTGTAGTGACAAAAATTGCTTCCGGGATGTTGTAGGGTGGTCCGAGTTAAGAGGGGTTATTCTGGGCTAGCCTAGTTTGTTTTTGCTCGTCAGTGTCAGATCCTTTTCTAGGTGGTAGTATACCCCCAAGATTAAAGACTTCCTTTGTCCCTCAATGGACGAGAAAGAAATAGCATTACACAACACAACAGGAAGACGGAGACTCTCCTATTCCAGTAGGAGGACTTAGAAGTTGAGGATATTTAGAGATAGGAACTCCAGTAGGGAGATCTCATCTCTGAAATCACTAAGAAATATGTGTTAGCAAAAGATTCAGCCAAGCAGCATTCACTCATAACTTAAATACCAGTTTTGGGTAGTTTGAGCCTTTAAAAGAAAACAAAAATTAAAGTTTAAAATTTAAAAACGTTTAGCCTCAATACTTACTCTTGTAATATTTTGCTGTCTGTGGTTTGAGGATAGCCAAAATCCATTAACTCATCTAACAACTCATATATAATGACAAAATTATCACGTATACTTTCTTCTTCTAATTCTTTGAAATATTCAGAAAATACCTGAAACACAAAAAGGTATACCAGAGAAACTAAATTTGTAATCTGTGCAACTGTATATGTGCATCATAAATGTGGTATGTATGTTTAAGTCATTTTCATAAAAGTATTAGAGATGACAGCAATACCCAAAGCCTTGTAGTAACCATGCACAGCAAGAATGTGTTTTATAACATACCCAATATTCCAAACCTCTGCCACACATGGATTACCACACGTATTATTATACAGGATTTATATAGCGCCAACAGTTTGTGCAGCGCTTTACAATATTACCAAATCCACTTTTGCTCCCTCACTGCTCTTAAAGTAATTCTGTCATGTGGGAAGTATGGGGCTACCATTAAAGGCCTCCTTCTGAAAATACTATACTGAACAAGCATGCTGTAAATCGGTGAAAGAAGAGAATCAGAACTATTCTGTATACTTTCTTCAGGTCAGCAACTCAGACAGCACTGAAGTCAAAGCATCAAAAGTAACAGCCAAGGAACTAGCATTTTCAAAGAAGAGGTCAGTAATGCCAGACTATATTAATCTCTCATTAATTCACGCATGTCCATGGTATCCAAATTTATATATTTTTCTTCATTGTTACTAAAATTTACTTCACTCATTATTGGGGCATTCAAAAAGTAGGTCAGCAAAAAGGAAAGCAAAGTGTACTGCAATTTGCTGGTTTCAGGCAGTCACAAAGTGTTAGTAAAAAAATTAAACAACCCCCCACACACAACCACCACCACATATGCAGAGCAGTTTTGCCATACATGCATATTTCCCCATGTTTTATCCCTATAAAGACTTTGTAAGTGCAGAAACATACCTGTTAAATGTGCCAGAAATGCACTCGGCTCCTAATTTCCTATTGTAGGCTGGCAACAGACAGCATTTGGACTGAATGGTGTCAGACCTGCCCAGTTGTCTTTTCATACACTAATTAAACCACCCCATATCCTGTTCTCCACAATCCTAAGAAGTCTACAAACAATTAGCAAAGCCATTCACCCATTGCATGAAGGTGAGGTGCATAAGAAATAAGTAGACAAAACCAGATTAAGAGCTCAAAGCTTCACAGGCTACTAAGGGGAACACATGGGAGGGGAGAAGCACAACCTGAGCCAGCCCCCTTTTCACCAGAGAATGGCCAGCAAGAGGCCTCTAAAAGCAAGGCTGAAATTTGGTCCTTGAGGAGTACCCAAGACCAAGTGCTGGTCCATACCAGGATACAGCAATAACAGGATGTTTACAGGGTGTAGTCTAGGATGGAACCTTTGTTTCTTGCACAAGGCAAAGTAGGCCTTCCAAGTGCAATGATAGACTTTCTGAGAAATCAACTTCCTAGCCTTCAAAAGCATAGGAATACCAGAGTCAGACAGACTCCGATCCCTTAGCCAAATGGTCAAAGCTAGCATCAGAGAAGCAGCATGGTATACAAGCCTCTGAGAGAACAGGTCAGGTCGGTCAGGAAAATGCCAAGGAGAATCTCCCAGGAGTCAGAAGATGTCCAAGTACCAAGTACTTCTGGGCCAGTTCGGCAGCACCAGGATCACTAGAACACCCTCCATCTCGATCCAGCGAAGAGCAGGAGGAAGAAGAATCTGTATCGGAGGAAACTGAGCCCATGGGGTCATAAGCATTTCCAAAGACTTGAGAATCGCTGGTTCTGTCTACCTTGTTGTTGAAGCGGAATGCCAAGAGATCAATGTCTGGCGTTCTCCACTGATGACAGGATTTCCAAAAACACCTTTGGCTTAAGAGACTATTGCCCACATCCAGGTGCTCACAACAGGCTGGGCTTGGAAGGTCTGCCTGCCAATTGTCTATTCCAAAAATGTGAACTGCAGAGAAGGCTGGAACGTGTCTTTCGGCCCAAGCCAGAATTAAAGCCCACTTCCCTTTGTGCCGTGCAACGTCCGGGGCCGCTGTTCAACTGAATCCTTGAAGCCAGCTAGTCCAGCTCTGGATAACTCTTCCCCAGCTCAACAGACAGCCTTCACTGCTGCCTCGGCGCCCAATCGTCTCAGCTTCGCCGCTTGACTGGCCCCTTGGCGACGCCTCCTCCATCGCGGTCTCTGCCTTTTTTCCTCAGTCTTGCCTCATCTCCCCCTGTCTCCGCCCCCTGTCTCATGCCGCTCCGTCCCCGTCTCTTCATCGCAGCCTCGATCTCACTCTGTCTCCGCCCCCTGTCTCATGCAGCTCCGTCCCCATCTCTTCATCGCAGCCTCGATCTCACTCTGTCTCCGCCCCCTGTCTCATGCAGCTCAGTCCCCCGTCTTCTCATCTCCGCCCTCATCTCCCTCTGTCTCCACCCCCTGCCGCTCCGTCCCCCTTCTCCTCTTGCTCGCTCGCCTGTCGACATTAGACAGACAGGCTGTGCGGGCCACATTACAAGGTCCGGCGGGCCGGATTCGGCCCGCGGGCCTTGTGTTTGCCACCCCTGGTCTAGCAAATGACCATGGAGACCAGTCGGTTGCATTGCCTCACTTGCAAGAGTAAGGAAGCCTTGAGAAAGCCCTCCAAATCTTTTGTCCCTAGACCAGAACATCCTCAACGATAACATTGAGGAACCTAAAGCAAAAAAATAGCTGGATCTACCACTGAAACCTTCCACTTTTTCTGGTAAGCTTCCTCAACAGGGTATTTTGAGCAAACCTTATAGGAGTGATGTGTACCTGGACATAGTTAGTCCTTGTACAAAATATCCTGTACCAGAAGATGGACCAAAACGGCCTTAGTGGGTTTCTTATTTTCCTTCCCAGAAACCCGTACTGGTCACCTTAAGGCTAGTAGATGGAGGCACTTGAACAAGCGTGCACTGCATCCACCAAAACCTCCCACAAGAAGTCCTCTGACTCGCACTTCCTATCCTTGCCATCCTACCCCCCTCATCCAGAAACAAAGGTTCTGGGACAGGCAAGCTTAAAAGTGACGAAGTGGGGAGGACATCGACTGATTGTGTTTACACCCTTTGCATCCAAAAGGTATTTATCAGAGCAGAGACTATCCCCATAAGTTCTGCCATGAAAGCCAAAAATTTCTCTCTAGTTCCCCTCCTCTAAAAGGAGGAATGGAGTGTACTAGGAGGGGAGAAGGGAGGACTCTCAGGAATGTAGACTAAATTCTAAAGTGCCCTGGTTAGTTCCATCATGGCCCTCTGCACATTGCGTGCTGACATGCCCCCTAGTCCCATTTTCCTTGTGTCTGACATGTGCCTTTGTGGCGCGGGTATTGCCTGAGGGGTACTCACAAACATTAATGCAGAGCAGAAAGAGCGCAGCTGACTGGATATCCCATTGAAGGCCTGTGCTGAATCCCAGGGCACACGTGTGAAGCAGGTGGTTGTGTGTGTTACTTGGAAGAGCATATCCTCAAAATGGCTGCGGCAGCCTGATGGGGAACCAGCTCCTGGGGTAGGGCTGATGCACAACCAAATGTTTTGAAGTGCCACATGGCTGCAGAGCTGAACCTATTCCGCAATGGGAAGAGTGTTGCATGTTCACCACACATCGTTTAAAGTGTTGCAATTGCAGTGTGACACCCTGAGTCTGGACCAGGAATCTTGCCGCACAAAGGCAGGGGTCTAGGGACACCCATAAATGGGGTAGACATAGAATTATCCAGAAAACAACTCTCAGAAAAAGCCCTGTACTGTAACATTCAGAAATACATGTATACACACACAAAACGTTTATGATGTCTAGTGTCTGACATGTGACCCAAATCACTGTTGTTGCATCCAGCAGCTGCATGATGAGCATATAATCTCTACACTATAAGTGATATACCCACCTGGACAACTTTGTAGAGGAAGGAGAACACCAGTGACACGCAAGCATTCTTTTTGGATGTAGCAACCACTAGAGTAATGTTAAGGTAAATTTACTCATAGTTTCCAATTCACTGCACAATTTTCAGCTCTATACTGTTGTTGACTTTATCCTAACCTTCCGTTAAATTTTGTAGGTTTTTTTTTCTTATATAATATTCCCTATTTTGCTATAAATAACATCTTCACAATCACACAGATGGGGCCACTGTTCCTGCAGTTTACTGATGGGGCCATTGCCCCTACAGTGATTTACTAATTCCGAGACCAGAAGCCTGAACAACATTTCCACTACGCCATTTCCAGATGTGGAAAACCTTCTGTGTCACTATGTGGAATGGTTACAACTGCATACAATATTCCCAGTTGTCTTAGAAAAGATCTTAAATGAAACCTATATCATGAATATACACTATATAATAAAGCTTATACTCGATATTGGTACTGCAAGTCTCAACCTTCTACTTCTGTTAAGAATATATCACACCCAATACACCATCACTCAAAGCAGTGTTGGAGGGCATGTCTATGCCAATACCACCTTTTAGAAAGCCAAAATGTACCAAAGAACTTTAGGCAGCTGCCTTTACACTATGGGGAGGCGCCAAGGCATTACAGGTATGACACTGCATCTTATAGTGCCTAATATCCGATAACAGATTTTAGTTTATATTGTTTATTGACAGAACAGGTTTACTTTAACCCCTTCATGACCAAGCTTGTTTTTAGTTCAACTAAAGGGTGGGCGAAACTGCAAACAAAATGCTAACAAGCCCAAAAGACTAACTGTGGACTGCCTACAGTTCAAAGAGCCGTCAAGGACTTCACAGTTGAAGCTGGCATCAGAAGAGACTAGTTCATCCACCTGGTAAAACTTAAGACAACATGTAAACAGAAGACCAGGTAACAGCCTTGCTAAAAAGAAGTACTCACAGATCTAGTGGAATCTGCTTTGAAAGGAAAAGATGGAACCTAATCCTTTAGATCATAAGCTTGAATGATTTCTCTAAGCCACTCAGAAATGGTCGAACATAAATCTTGTTGCCCTTTACGGAGATCATCAGGGATGGCGAAGAGATCATTTTTTATTGAGGCAGTGGTTGTGAGGTAGATGCACTATATTGCCAAAAGAATTGGGACGCCTGTCTTTAGACGCACATGAACTTTATGACATCCCAGTCGTAGCCTGTAGGGTTTAATATGAGTTGCCCCACCCTTTGCAGCTATACCAGCTTCTACTCTTCTGGGAAGGCTGTCCACAAGGTTTAGGAGTGTGTATGGAAATGTTTGACCATTCTTCCAGAAGCGCATTTGTGAATTCAGGTACTGATGTTGGACGAGAAGGCCCGGCTCGCAGTCTCCGCTCTAATTCATCCCAAAGGTGTTCTATCGGGTTAAGATCAGGACTCTGTGCAGGCCAGTCAAGTTCCTCCACCCCAAACTCGCTCATCCATGTCTTTATGGACCTTGCATTGTGCACTGGTGCGCAGCCATGTTGGAACAGAAAGGGGCCATCCCCAAACTGTTCCCACAAAGTTGGGAGCATGCAATTGTTCAAAATGTCTTGGTATGCTGATGCCTTAAGAGTTCCCTTCACTGGAACTAAGGGGTCAAGCCCAACCCCTGAAAAACAACCCCTCACCATACTTTACACTTGGCACAATACAGTCAGGCAAGTACTGTTCTCCAGGCAACCGCCAAACCCAGACACGTCCATCGGATTGCCAGACAGAGAAGCGTGATTCGTCAATCCAGAGAACACGTCTCTAGAGTCCAGTGGCAGCGTGCTTTACACCACTGCATCCGACGCTTTGCATTGTACTTGGTGATATAAGGCTTGGATGCAGCTGCTCGGTCATGGAAATGCATTCCATGAAGCTCTCTACGCAGTGTTGTGCTAATCTGAAGGCCATACAAAGTTTTCTGCCGCCCCGAGGACGGGCCTCGGTGGCCTTGTGGGAAATCCGGGCCTGATCACCTTCTGATGCACTGGGGCTGGACAGATGGATCAAAGCACACTAAGGCGTACACAAGTAAAACTCTGCCAAACTCGACCCAGTAACATAGCACTCAATTTCTCAGCACTCAGTTCCTTAGCGTTTTAACCCCTTCATGACTGAGCTTTTGTTTTAGTTTCAGTACTTTAGGGCCTGTTCACACGACGTCCGTTTTCTGTGCTGACCTGATCCGTACGCTCCTGCACTAAAAATGCATCCCAATGTGTTTTATGGGCTACAGTTCTCACGTGCGCAGTCCGTTCAGGTTACTGCACGTCACATTTTGTCCGGTCAGGAAACGGTCCGGAAACGCAAAACGTGTCAAAAACGCACTGCACTGCAGCTAACATACTGACAGCCCCACTCCAGCAAAAAAATAAAATAATTGTTTTAACTGGATCAAAAACACATAGCACCACGTCTGCAGATCTGCACCTGATCCGGACCTGAAAATCATGTGAACAGGCCCTTAATGACTGATGCACTTTTGACATTTTTGCTGTGTGATTCTTCCACAGCAGTAATATACTTTCTTACTAAATGTACCCACACATGTATATTGCTTTTTAGGACAGATAGGATAGATATTTTTTCTGTACTTCTCAGCCTAAAACCTAACATTTTAATCTTTTTTTCTCTAAAAGCGATCACCTGGCATACAATGTCACTGTCACTAAGTGTCACACTTAGTGACAGCAACATACTTTGAACATCACTGTCATGAGGGGGTTAAATTAAAAAAGTTACCCCTTAGGGTGAAAAACAAATCTGCAGCTCAGCTGCAGATTTTCATTGTAAAGCATTAATATTTATATTAATGATAGTATAAATATATATTTAAATATATCATTTTTGTTACATTTCTTTTTTTTTACAAATTAAAAAAAACACATTATTTTATTAATTTCATTATATCAAGTCATTGCTAATGAATCTCACTATTACTGCTTGATAAATTATTAAATTTTTTGTTATTATCAGGCTGCTTCAAATTAGCATAATAACCTTAGTGACACTGTTTCTGCAGCATTTCAGGATCAGATCTCACTAAAGGTTTTCTGATCGTTCCAACAACCATCAGAAGCCTGTAACATTGTTTCAGCAAAAGAAATACGTGGCTAAATGTTTCTATTGCTGAAACTTTAGGAGGAAAAAAGCTGGTATACATTGGGATTTCCCGATCAATACCAGCTGTCAGTGATGGCAAGAGCTGTAAATACTAGGGATGCACAGATACTTTTCGAGTACCAGTGCAAATACTTGGCATTTTCATGAGAACTACCAGGGTTGCAGCGGTTGCAGCTGGGACCTGGCTCTGGCGCTCCACCACTGTCCTAAAATCATTAGTCGATATTGTTTTAGAAATACTGTTTTCTCTAGTCTAGTCTTGGAGCTCAAAAGTATCGGTACATGTACTCGTACTTGTACCGAGTACTGTACTTGGTATCTGTGCAACCCTAGTAAATACCGCTCAGCTCTCACGGTCAGACATCCGATTCCTGAAAGGGATCGAGTGTCTGAAAAGGCTTAACTCTCACAAAAATGGTTCACAAAATCATATAAAAAGAAAGGATACAATATAAATTATTGTGTTTAATCCACATGAATCGGACTCCTCCATGAGCAAGTATTGGTGAAAGTGCCCCTTCCTCTTCCTTTTCCATTAGGATTGGCATGAAGTGCTCAACTTCAGACATATCGACATCTCCACGATAATTCCGACATATGAGGACCTATACGAAAATAGTGTAAAATTACTGTATAGCAAATCTGCAAAATTAGATTTTCACTGTTTTGCAACAAAAAGAACAATCACTATTGTCAATTGTGAGGTTGTATAAGTGAGGCATTCTTTAGTTTCTGCACTAAAAAAAAGTCACCAGAATCCAGGTATTACAAACACAATAGTAGTAATAATCTTATGTTGTTTGTTGATGATATTTTAGTCTTCATAGCAACCTTAGTTCTTCGGCAGAAACTCAAAGCATTATCCCACAGAGACCACTAGCACATGGCAACTCTTACAGTGGAGTTGTCTGGTTAAAGTGAACCGGTGTTCAATTATAAACTTTTTACAAGTATAGGTCCTGCCTAAAGAACAGAAACTATAGGAAACCTGCTACTTCCTTTTTTAGCCACTCAGGAACATTTCATTGAAGCTGGCAGGGCTTGGCCATAAAAGTTGGGTAATACCAGACCCCAGTAACAAAATGATACAAAATCAAAGAGGGGCAAACAAGAGACTTTATTATGGATTAAAAAAAAGCACTGTCATAAATGTGTGGATATGTAGTAGCCTGCAGGAGCATCACAAATCGCAATCACAAGAACCTCTCCTCGCTGACCCAAGAAGTAAAAAACAACCGCTGGTCACCTCAGTCGGCCCTGGCCACTGTATGCTTAGGCTGGCGCATTTCCGGGGGAACGCCCCCTTCCTCATGAGCCATAGCTTGCCCTATGAGTAAGCAGGATTAACCCCTTCATGACAGCTTGTTTTCAGCTTCTGTTGGTAAATGACTGACACACTTTTTACATTTTTGCTGTGTGATTCTTCCACAGCAGTAATATACTTTTTTACTAAATGTAACCACACATATTCTATATTGTTTTTTAGAGGACCGATAGGGCTATATAATTATATCAAACATGTGTAGAAAACACTCACAATTTTTGATTATTATTATTTTTTAGAAATGTTTTATAATAATTATAGTACAAAAAATATATTTATATATAATTTTTATTTTCTTAATTTTTTTTTGTCAGTTTATATCAAGCAGTCACTATAATTTTTGGTTATTATTAGGCTGCTCCAAACTTAGGAACAGCTAATAATAACCTTAGAGACTGATCCTGACAGCATGTCAGAATCAGATTTCACTAAGGCCCGGTTCACACCTAGGCGTTTTGTAGCGCGTTCCTACGCTCTGCAAAATGCTCAAAAACACAGAAATCCCATTATTTCCTATGGGTATGGTTCACACCTGGGCGTATTACAGGCCGTATAAACGCGCTACAAAACATCCTACGCCCAAAGAAGTACAGGAGCTTCTTGTCATGCGTTTCCATTGGGATACAGCCAAGTAGCTCTCTGAAATGCGCGTTTGTCGTGCGGTTTTTTTTACTGCGAAACGCGCGACAAACGCCCATATTCGATACGCCTAGGTGTGAACCCAGCCTAAAGGTTTCTGATTGTGCCCAGACAACCAGAAATGATACATTTGAGGCACAGAGATACATTATAACATTGTGCCTGAAATGTATCACATAGCTTCATAAACATCATAAACATCGGACCAGTCTATGGAGCTGTCAAAACAAATAGCAGAGAGGTGACTCACTCTGCTGCCTCTCTGCTATCTTCAGCTGTCAAATACCGGATCACTATTTAGCGATCCGGTATTTGTATGTAACGGCTTCATTCTTTCATTAATGAAAGAAAGAAGCTTTTTATAAAAGCCTAACTATTTCATTATTGAATGCCTCTATACTGAGGCATTAATTAATGAATGGTAATCGCTGAGAATCGGCGGTTACCAGCATTACAGAGCTGCAAATAACAGTCATTTAGGCACTTTGTGGCAGGACGTACAGTGTACGTCTCCCGTCATGAAGGGGTTAACCACTTGAAGACCAGGTGTTTACACCCTCTTCCTGGCCAGGCCATTTTTCAGTATTCAGCGCTGCAGAACTTTGACATTTATTCATTTAGTCACACAGCGCTGTACTGAAATTAATTTTATACTATTTTTTGGGGACAGATAGCGCTTTTTTTGGATATTTATTTTTTACTATATAATGAAAAAAAATACAGAAAATTTGGAGTAAAAAAAAAAACACAACTGTTTTCTGTACTTTATGTTTAAAAAAGCATTGATTCTCACCCAAATTTTGGGTAAAATATAAAAGACAGGGTCACGTCAGGTAAATAGACACCAAACATGTCAAGCCTTAAAATTGTGTTCGCTCGTGAAATCGCTAAAAAAAAAAAAAAAAACATACTCAAAATTAAAAGCTTTAAAAGCTTTTGCCACTCATCAGTTTAGCGTCAACAGTGACTGATGGCCATAGAATTATAGAACAATGCCGAATACCACTAGCTATAGAGGACTACAAAACCTAGCAATAGTACATTATACAGTGCAATGCAGAATACCACCAGCTATAGAGGACTACAAAACCCAGCAATAGTACATTATACAGCGCAATGCAGAATACCGCCAGCTATAATGTACTATTGCTGGGATTTGTTGTAGTCCTCTATAGCCGATGCCATTCTGCATTCATTGCTGTATAATTTTACACTTTTCATTTCACTATATTGCACACCACACTTTTTCTTTTTTACTTCCACCGCTCCAAGCTTGCTCCTGTGATGGGACTACAATCTCAATACAAACTAGTAGCCCCATCACTGGAGCCATTTTTTATCCGATTAACCGATTAATCGTACTTAATAATCGGCTAACTAATCGATTTTGAAAATAATCGTTACCTGCAGCTCTACTAGGGACCCCCAAAGAAGCTGATGAAGCAAATGGTCTGCTTCACCAGATTCTCTCCAGCTTCTGTAGCCGGAGAAAGACAGCTGAATGCGGAAGTGATATAATATACTGCACACCCACATGCATAATACAAGCGATCCGGCGGCTGTACAGATGCCGGCATGCTTGTCTGCAAAAAGCCATGGGAGAAAGCGGGGAGACTGAGTCATCGCTTTTTACCATGACTTGCCGCTACCAGTCTTCTCACTTGAGACTCCGCCTCCCACTCCCATGTGTTTGAGAAAGCGTGGCCACACCAGATTTAGATTTTCTTTTTTAAAAAGCTGAGAGCGGGCTCCAGTAACTGTTACCTCCCCTAAGAGGAAAGGAGCTTGAAGAAGGGCTGCAGGTGGCCGCTTTCTGTGTTTTGGGATGAGATTATCTTGGATGTGCTGAGACTTTGGAAATCAGGAATTCTGCTAATACAGTAAAGGTAAGGGAGTATGTTTATTTGGCATTAGGTCATAATTCTCCTTTAAGGATAATCAAGATATCGTTATAAAAGCAAGAGGATAAAGGCCTTGTGGCTGATCAGCCCGTCCAAGTGTACATGTTTTTTGGAATTAGTGTGTTGGTTGTTGAAATGACCTTTTAATAGAATAAGTGGTGGCGGCTAGTTGGTGTGTTTTTCAATGACCCAGAATTTCATTAATCTCTAATAAATTTATATATTTTTATACTACATTTGACCTTCCGACCCTGATTAATACTGTTCTTAGATTTGATCCTTCTTGATCACTTTATTCTTTGTTCTCTAGTTTTGTAAACAGTTGAGGTTTGTTCTGAAAGTCACTTGATATATTCATGTCTATTTTTCTACCCACCAGTGGAGTTCATCTAAATTTGGGTTTGGCGCTCTTGGTATAAACCTTTACTTTTTGAATTATTTGGAAGAAGCCTATAGGCTTCTGTCGGATAAAAGTACATGTAGGAAGATGACAGGAGATCCCCCTGCAGAGTATTAAAAAAACTCCTTTTAGTAATGCTGGATAGAACAGTCAGTGATGGGGTCATTTCTAAAACTGAAAAATATCTAAAGGATTCAGCACCCCTTAAAAAGGAGAACTATGGGGTGAGTGCTTTTCACTCAAGGGAAATGTACATGTATAGCAGAGATGTACTGCTAATTGTCTTTTTTTTTTTTTGCCTTGACGTTAGTTTTTAAATGTATCAGAGAGATCTCCCAGAATACATCATCACTTGCTTCAGTGGAGGCTTAAAGGAGAACTATGAGGTGAGTGCTTTTCACTCACCTCATAGTTCTAGCCGACCTGTGACAATGAAACTGTCACAGGTCGGCTCAGTAGATCGGGAAGTGAGCGAACACATACCGGCGTTCGCTCACTTCTCGATCCTGTCACAGCTCTATGCCGTGACAGGGGAGTGGCTGGATTCCCCTCTCCCCGCTCCGATCCTCCAGCGCTGACTGGCGGAACAAACGGGGGAGGGGCGGTTACAACTGGCTCTGCCTCTTGATAGGAGGCACTCACGCAGCGAGGCGGATCCAGACATAATTGCTTCAGCTGCGGCGTCTCAGTATACCGCGAGCTGTAGCTCACGGTATACTGAGCTTAGGGTGACGGGAAGACGCTAGTTTGTGTCCTCCCGTTACCTTGAGAACTATGGGGAAAAGCCCTAACCCCATAGTTCTCCTTTAATACCCCACTTTTATCATATGCCAAAATCCATAAGAATACCTATAAACCTCCAGGGAGACCCATCATAGCAGGAATAGGTAGTGTAACATACAATTTTGCATGCTACATTGATCACTTCCTTCAACCCCTAGTCTGGGATCTACCCTATGTGCGGGATTCGAGCCATATGCTAAAAATCCTGATGAATTATGAGTGGAAAGACACATACATATGGGCCTCACTGGATGTCTCCTCGTTATACAGTGTATGTCTATTGAGCATCAATTTGGCTTAATGGCTGTACATTATTTGTCTAAATCTGGATCAATTCGCAGCAAGTAAACTTCATCATGGAAGTAATGGAGTTTATACTTACACAATTACTTTTCGTTTATGGACAACTTCTACATACAGGTCAAAGGCACTGCCATGGGCGCCAGGTATTATTATTATTACATAGTATTTATATAGCGCCAACAATTTGCGCAGCACTTTACAATATAAGGAAGACATTACAGTTACAATACAATTCAAGACAAGATGGTAAGGAGG